ATGCAATATGATGTTTAGATACGATTTCATGCGACAAAACGTTAGAATCTTGATTTTTAGGCGCGAGTAAAACATACCTACGCTATTGCATGCCTAAATTATTAACTTTTCAGGAAGGTCATTCCATAGGCTCGCGGCTTGGACAGCAAACGATGAAGATATGAAACCAGAACAATGAAGAAGTATAAAGAGAGCAAGTGTCGCGCAGGAATTGAAACTTATGTTTCAGTTCAGATAGTGGTTATCAAATAAAATAGAAAAAACTGTGTTAAGTATCCTAATGTGTCTTCGCTACTGAATAGGAAGCCGTTTAAGCTGAGTGCGGAATGAGGGTACATGATCAAATTTGCGAAGACGAAAAATAATACCTGATACATTTATTGACGAGACGATGCAGCTTGTCAAGGAGAGCCTCATCAGGTTTTAGTCTAGACGAGATTGCTGTTAGAATCTTGATACGTTGCATTTTGCTAATAGAAAAATAATGTGATACTAATAGTTTTTCTATAATAAATAACACTAAAAATTGTATAATTTACACATATACACATAATTATAATAAATAATAAACAATACATATGAGTAATATACTTAAACTAATACAGTAAAAAATATAATAAAACCTCTAAATTCTTTACACAAATCCAAATGTAAAACGGCATTTTTATACTCTATGCGGCGACCGGCATGTTCTCGATATCTGTTACATACGCGCTAGCACTTCTAATTAGTTTGTGCATACACGCGAGGAGGTAATGCGCTAAATGCTTACAGCGACAGTATTAAGGGAGCTATAATGAAATAGCACTGCAGATTGAACAGAAAAATATGTAACGATGAGTGGTTAAGAATAGAAAGCACAGCTGGCCAAGAACTGTCCGGGAATAGAATACAATAGTTGTAGTGCGCCAGCTCATTACAATTACATTTTAAATAGGAGTCAATGAAATGTTTAGATTTAATAAACGATTCGTGATTGAGGTTTTAAACGGTCATGAAAAAGGTTTTATTCTCAATTTCTAATTTCGATTTCGTGTTGTTTAATTTATTTGTTAGATTCTTAACTATTTATATTATAGGTACCTAGGTAATTTTATAACTAAAAATTGCGAGTGTAATTGTGTACACACTTATACGATGTGAAACTTTTTTACGACATAATATCATTCTTCTTTTATTTTATTACTCATACAATCCCGGCAATGAAACGTTACAACAAAATGTGACGTTTAACGATATTTTCCCTTCAAAAAGAAGTCTGATTACTGTTATATGATAAGTTACAGCCTATATACGTCCCATAGGTGGAAACTACCCTCCTCTCATTTCCAAGATGATGTTAGGGCAAGGAGATGTCACATGTCTTTGATGTATGATTTCTGAGATATGCAATTTTCCGCACAATGTTTTCATTCACGTGGTAAACCAATCAGAATTAAAATTGCAATATTAACAATTACATTGGTGCCGGCGGAAGTAGAACGCGGGGTGCTCCTGTGCCCTGAAATTTATTGCGAGTACCTTATCCCCTGAGGTACCACAGTTCTGATTACATACAATTCGATGTTATAATTTATGTGAATACAATAATTAAAAAAAAACAAATTAATAAATAACTTATCAACAAAGATAATAGTAGGACCTTAGAGAGATTTGAGATTTTTTTTTAACTAGCCGGAAGTCAATATTGTTTTATACTATCTAGGGATACAATTTCTCATCAATCAAGAATCGATTTGTGACAAACGAGCGAAATGACTTTGCGGCCCACACATCCATCCATACATACATACATACATAAACACTCACGCCTGTCACCCAGAGGGTAGGCAGAGACTACGGACTTCCATTTGGCGCGATCCTGACACACCTCCCTCGCCTCTTTTACATCCATATATCTACGCATACACGCTCGTCGGTTAAGGGTACTCCTAATCTGGCCCATTTTTAATGTATCGCCGATTTGGTCGATAAACCTTCGTCTAGGGCGTCCCTTCCCGACCCTGCCGTTCACTTCTGCAACATCCATACATCTATACTCGATTAAGAATCAAAATGCAGATGCGTAGACTGTTTTAAAAGGGTCTCCGGTTCTCTACACTCATCATACGGAACACAGCAGCATTAAACTATTCTACTAACTAGCTATTTCACGCTGGTACTTCGAGCCGATCCATTTGTACTACAACTATAATATAGCTGCAGCATGGCTGTCTCATAAGTGAGTCGTGGTAGCTCAGATGGTTAGCGATCGCTGTAAGCTACACAGTACTCGAGCAACCCGGGTTCGATCCCCACCGGCACCAATGAAACTGTTAATTGCAATTTTAAGTGCTGATTTACCACGTGCTCGGCGGTGAAGGAAAACATCGTGAGGAAACCTGCATGTCTGAGAAATAAGAAAAAAATATTTCGAAGACATGTGAAGTTCGCCAACACGCATTAGGGCATCGCTGTGGACAATTTCTTGCCCTAAAACCCTCTCAGAAATGAGAGGAGGCCTGTGCCCAGCAGTGGGACGTGAATAGGCTGCAACTTTAATTTACTTTAATGGCTGTCTCATAAATACACATTTTATTAACGCAAGTTTACTAAAGCAAAGGAACTTGTCTAAGTTGGATTAAAGATATTATAGCTTCCCTTTCAACCGTGGTAGCTAAGCGCTCGCTGTAAATTCCACAGTACGCGAGCAACCCGGTTTCGATCTCCACCGGCACCAATAAAATTAATAATTGCAATTATAAGTGCTGAATTACCACGTGCTCGTCGGTGAAGGAAAACTTCGTGAGGAAACCCAGCATGTTTGAGAAATAAGAAAAAAATATTTTGAAGACATATGAGGTCTGCCAACAGGCATTGGTGCAGCGCGGTGGACGTTTCTTTACCCTTAAACCAGCAGTTTGCTCAGCAGTGGGACGTATATAGGCTGTAACTTTTTTTAACAATATGAATACACGGCCATAAAGACAATAAATATATTTTATTATACGTGTCACATAGGCGTACAAACTATTATTTAAAATAAATATATTATTTTACGGCTAGTTTAAATGTAAAAAACAAACCCGGCTAAACTTAGGTTTAATATTGTTCGTAGGCGTTTTCGTCTTTACGAGTAGCTGAATAACTTACATAATATTACCGACGCATTGCTACCGCAGAATAAATAATTGTGGAAATATCGTTTTAAATTTGAAACATTTATATGTACATATTATATTATATTATTATGTTTAATCAGGAATGATAATATATTCGTTGATTTTTTTTTACAGGATAAGGGTGACAAACGAGCACACAGTCCACCTGATAGTAAGAGGTTGCTGTGGCCCATAGAATCTACATCTAACTTCAATTACAAACCAAAATGCAGATGTGTTGTCACCAGTGAAGACTAAGATGGAATGCCTCGTTTCCAGTAAAAAGGGTCTCCGGTTCTCTACACTCACCATACGAAACACAGCAGCTTTAAGCTGCTAATTTACGCTGGTATTCTGTGAGAGCGTGGTTCTTCCCCGGTCGAGCCGACCCATTCGTGCTACAACCATAATATATGCAGCATGGATCTACCACCTTGAATGATATATAATTTTCAAATATATTTCTGGGTACGATACGCGCGCCACCTAGTGTAAGTTAATTGTACTATGCGTATAACTTTCACGGAAGCGTAAGCAATGTGTTTACAAAGATTTACCGCAATCTGATGACCGGTATGGCAGCGTATAATATACGAACAAAAAAGCATTAATATTTATTTATATTAAATAAATGTTCGCACCTTGGCGTGTCCTAAGAGCAAACCCAGCCGCACTTTAACTTAGTGATAACCATGAAATCACCTTGTTTAGGCCAATCGAATACAACTAAGTTTTAATAAATAATGTGTAGTTTAAGTTATCGTTTATTGTACACAATTAACAATTCAATTCGTGAATTAAATATACATAAACACTCACTCCTGTCACACAGTGGGGAGGCAGAGACTATGGACTTCCATTTGGCACGATCCTGACACATCTGTCTCGCTTCCTCCACACCCATATACCTACGCATACACGCTCGACGGTTAAAGGTACTCTTAATTTGGCCCATTTTCAATATATCGCCAATTTGGTCGATAAACTTTCGCCTAGGGCGTCCCTTCCCGACTCTGCCGTTCACCTCTGCAACATAAATTTACTTTGTCACTCTTTTCTCATTCATTCTTCCTACATGACCAAACCACCGAAGCATTCCTTTCTTAATCCTGGTCACAACATCATCTAGCAAACTTGAATTAAATATGTTAAAATTAATTAGCTAAGAAAGTAATAAAATAAAATGTTGTATGCTTACCTAGTTTTCGTGTTACCCAGTTAGGGCGGGAGGTGCTCTTCAAACTAGGTTCTCGCAAAGTAACGCCTGATTCTATTAACTATCAAATCATGTAACGTTTTCTTTTTGTTTTATTTTTATTTGCTTCTAAATGTTTTAGCTAATAATTTGTGGTTAATCCTAATTTTAGTCGGCAATCTTAAGCTTATTATTTATACTAACGTTATCCTATTTTTCTGTAATATACCTAATACATGAATTATTTTTCTTTTTTTCAATTGTGTCCAAAGTAATATCCTATTTTTAGTAAATAGTTAGATTTAAAGTATAATTTTTGCATAAATTTTAATTAATTTTCAACCGACTTAAAGAAGGAGTAGGTTTACAATTCGTTGGAATCTTTTTTTTTGTATGATCACCGATTACTCGAAGACGCCTGAACCGATTTGCCAAATTCTTTTTTTTTTTGTTTCAAAGGTTGTATTTCTTAAGTGGTCCCATTTAAATTTTATCGAAATCGGTCAAGCGGTTTAAAAAAATCAATAATAAATTATATTTATATTGAAGTCGGTTATACAAAAATTTTAATTTTACCACTTGTGCATAACTTTATCAAATTTAATTTATTAAATTAAAAAAAATCAGCAATATAAAAATATAAGAATATTGTGGACATTACCTACCATTATTAATCGCACTTCGTTACACAGTTCGGTAGTTTGTTTAAAATCGACATTATCGATTTAGTTTATCACAGACCGTTCGGTGAACTATTATGTATCGTGCGCGTATGTCAGCGCGCAGTTGTTGACTGAAGTCGTGAAGCGGCCGGCTTTGCCCTTTCGTGATATGCCTATGAGTTTGGTACGGATGCTGCGTATTAACGTCTCGCAGGCCGTGCGGTCTAGCAAGCGATCAAGGTCTGCAAGAAAATGCCTTCACGCACTATCTGTTATGTTTTCGCACTGATAATTAATCTGATAATGATTAACAACGTCATCGACGGCGGGGAATTCCTGATTATAATAATGATAATATAAAATAATTATTCTTATTTTAAAAATAATAAATATGAATATAAAAGTGCATCGCACTACATAGTTAAATTCTATAGATATTTTCCTTTTAACACTGGTTCAAAAAACCTCTGTCCTAGGAAGAACCAGTAAAAAGCCCAGTGATGCATAGAGTGTTGCTTCAATATATTTAATATTACAGATATTTTAATATATATAATATCTAATTATTTAAGTAATGATTATAATATAATTGTTTATTAATCTTTATAATAATATTAATTAATTATAAAAATTAAAGTTAATGATAGACAGACCTTGTATATTTTTGAGATTTTGTTTTAAAAGCGTACACATTTCACTTCACCATGAATGTTTTACACTCCGTGAAGACGGATAATAGGTATCACTAGCTTGTGTTTGATAACAGTGTTAGTTTCACTAATTTGTACCAGTTTTCCCAAAACAATCCGATCCAATGGTCAGACACTATGTCCTGCGATTTTGGAGAAAATTAGCAATGAATAAAATCACTAAAAACATTATAAATCATATCCCCTTGGTCTGATAATTTGTGTCCACATTTCATTATAGATGGACATACGTTTTATGCCCTACATATACATTTCAGGAAGGACTGGTCCTTGGCGATTGATTTATTCTGTGTTCTATTTTTACTATATAATTGTCGAAAAGTTATTGGGTTTTCTGTCAAGAAATTCTAAGTTGCAGGCCGGTGTCAGGATGTCAGCAGTGTTTCACCCCTGTGCCACCGAAAGCACGTAAAGCCATTGGGTCCTGCGTCTGATCTTCCTCCATTTGTGTGGGATTTCCATCCCGTCGGACTATGATAGTGCGGGAATAGAGAGTGCACCTATGCTAGCACAAACATTAAAGTATAATATGCTTACATGTACATACGTACCACAGAGTAATATTACTCTTTAAAGTTAAAAGTTACAGCATATAACTATACGTCCCACTGCACACAGGCCTTTCATTTCCGACAGGGGTTTGGGAAAGAAAATGTCCGCCGCATTGGCCCAATGCGTGTTGGCGAACTTCACATGTCTTAGAAATATTTTTTTTCTCTTATTTCTCAGACATGCAGGTTTCCTCACGATGTTTTCCTTCACCACCGACCACGTGGTAAATCAGCACTTAAAATTGTTAATTTAAAATAATTAACAACTTCATTGGTGCCGGGAAGGATTGAACTCGCGCGTTTAGCCCCTGAGTTACCACGACTCTGTTACTCTTTACCGAAAGTTAAATACGTACTTATAAATTTTATCTCCATACAAATTTGAACACCCTCTGGGCCCCTTAATAAGGGTTTTTAAAAAAAATCGCATAATACATAAGATACATTGTTACGTTAAATAAAATAAAACGTTTCGTATAAAATTTAACACCCTATTTCACCCTTATATAGAATTGCTACGTCATAAAAGGCAGCTACAGTCCAAATTTCAGATTTCTACGTCTGACGATTTGGGCTGTGCGTTGATATAATCTATTTCTAGGTCAGGCGGAAAAACGTAGAAAACGATACCTGTCACATTCCACACATTTCTCTATCACAAACACGTTTATTGGTACGGGATGCGTTGAGCAAAGCGGTTATATATATTAAGGAATATTTAAGCATTATTTAATATATTTAAGCATTGACGTCGCAAGGCATTGCTTTTGAAAATACCGTCGAAATGGCGAAACAGGCTGGTATTGAAGTCCTACGATTGCAACCCTACCACTGCGAACTCAACTCTATTGAGCTGTTATGAGCAGATAATATAAAAGTTTATGTTGCTCGAAATTCACTACACTTTTAAAATGTCAGATTTCAAGAAGCTGTTCGAACAAGGCCTTAATAAAATTGATGCTATTAAATCAAAAAACTGTGTCACCAAGTAATAAATGTAAAACATAAATAAAATGGCCTGTATCACGTTGTGGATAAAACTAATGATAAATTTATAGTATACATAATTATAATAAATAAAATTTATGAATACTATATATTTTTTTCTAATATTTATGGCATTGAGACTAGATAAACTAGATAGATATAGACTTTAAATTTTATGGAACCTCGCCAAAAAAGGTCGGTTACCTCTGTGGCTGGCGTAAAGGTCACTGCCCGTTTTCCCGCCTGCCCTAGAAACAGACTATATGAGTCAGTCACACAGGACTATTAACAACTCAGTTCTATTGCCAACACTTCAACTTATGCGATTTCGGCGAAAATATATACTTGTACATTATGTAAGAATTCGAACTATACCAACTCGTACGTTTTAGGTTTTCGTAGTCGAAACTTATTATTCCCTAATTACATTGTTATGGTATGCATGAACTAAATTATTACGAGTAATCGTGTTATAATCGATTTAGTTTTTATGTGAAAGATTAAAATATGTCTTGTTGTGTTAATACAATATATTATACAAAGAGATTTAAATGTTAATTATATTTGAATTTCTTTGGTTGAATATAACCAGTAGCAAAACGTGTTCGTTAAGTTAAGTATAGTGTAAAATAACATAATTAGATGACACTATAATTATGAAATTTTTTATGTCATATTATTTACAAAATATGAATTTATCTAAAAGCGTTAAAAATACGTCTGGGAAAATATTTTATTTTTGTTTGTGAATATTAATTGATTATTTTCGGTAACATTCGGCTTAAAGTTTTAAATATTTTTTTACAAATTGTGGTTTGAGCACCAGAAAAACAATTATCGATTCGAACGGTAAAATACTCAATTCTTTTATGAAAAAGTGAAATGTTGAGAAATTTGAGATTTTCCAATAAAAAAGTATTTATAAGCACTCCTATAAATTACAAACGAGAACAGAACAAACGAAACAAGACAGCAAAACTAACGAAGAATTATCCATAGGTACTTACTCCGACAGAAATCATATTTTGTTTACTCATAGTTGTTATGGCGATGGACTATTCATTATTTTTCCACAAAATATAAGAGCACTTTTGGATTTAACGATATATTTTCATATAGTCTTATTTTTATACATTTTTAAGGCACAACTCCACATTTTTACGAAAATACTTAATAAATAAAGAAACAAAAGTTTATTATGGAAGCAGGCGTAGACGTCAGATGAGACATAACCTTTATATAGAAAAATTCTTGCTAGTCGTCGCCGAACTGATAAGACATGCGCGACCGGTTCGTTAGTTCCATTTACGACAGCAGGTAAATATCTACTAGGTTTACGAAATGAAGGCCAAGAACAATAAAACTAAACTAAAAAAGAGCGAGCCTTTGAGCAGTCGCATATGATGTGTAAGATATGACATCTCAAAGCCTTGGTAATAAGCAACGTTAACGTTATATCCTGAATAAGGCTATTTCATGTTTTTAATCGAAATTAAAAATATCAATTCAGCACGCTACATAATATAAATAAATAAATATTTATATTAAAAGAGCCGTGGTAGCTCAGATGTTTAGTGCTCGCTGTAAGCTTCACAGTACTCGAGCAACCCGGGTTCGATCCCCGCCGGCACCAATCAAATTATTAATTGTAATTTTAAGTGCTGATTTACCACGTGCTCGGCGGTGAAGGAAAACATCGTGAGGAAACCTGCATGTCTGAGAAATAAGAAAAAAATATTTCGAAGACATGTGAAGGTCGCCAACACGCATTGGGGCAGCGCGGCGGACATTTCCTTGCCCTAAAAACCCTCTCAGAAATGAGAGGAGGCCTGTGCCCAGCAGTGGGACGTAAATAGGCTGCAACTTTACTTTACTTTACTTTACTTTTAAATATTTATTAAGATAGGACAAAATTCTACAAAATACTTAATTTTATCTACAATATTAAAAACTATGATAATAAAAAAAACTAAAACTAAAACTAGAAATTTAATTGAATTCATTATTAATTTATTTGAATTCATTATTACTCATTTGCATTTTTATCAATTATCTGCAGTTTTTTCAGACACATATTATCAAGAAATAATATAGTTTATTTTTAAATATATTTGACACATATAAATTAGTTTATATAAGAGCACACTTTAGGTACTATCACCACGCGCGCTCATTGGTTAAATCAAATACCGCTCGCTTTCCCAGCGTCATGTTACACACTTCCGTCCCTTTTCACGAAATTACTCCCATAGATTGCAGGAAAGCGAAAGGAAAGATGTTACTCATCAAAAGATTATAAGGTAAATGCAGAAGGAATGCTAGTTGGAAGCTGGGCCTCTTTTGTTGTAGAGAGAAATGGGTTTTGTATTCAAATCTAGTCTAGATTCTGTGATGTTAATGCTGTTAACATATGCGTCTCTTACAGCTTCATCGGACTCAGCGGTCGCGGCCTTTCAGGTCGGTCTATAAAAGGGAATACCCCCCGTATTTATTTTGGTGCATCGTTGCGAAAGCTACATTGCATCAAAATCGATAATCTAGGCCTGGGATTTATTGTGTTCAGTGATCACATTATCGTAACATCAACATCAACATCAAATGCTCCTTGATGATGCCGAAAATCACAACATGACATAGGTGAGTTGTCTTACCGCCGTCCGAAAAGGTGGTGGCGGATCCCGGCTCTGACGGCTACCTCGTATGGGGTACAGTTAAACAGCGGAAACAGTAGTAATAATTATACAACGTGTAACTATATACAATCATTGTCTAATATATAAAAAAATAATATTTGTTTGTTCGTATTTTATGCGCTGCCATACCGTTCATCAGATTGTGGTAAAACTTTGTCAAATTATTGTTTGCACTTCCGCGAAGGTTGTAGG